GATACTAAAAAGTCAGTAACTGCATACTGCACTTTTGTAGGAGATTCATTAGTTTACATGGAAGAGTAAGAAGCAAAATACAGTTTCTAGTTAGGTCCTCTTCAGAGGCAGAATACAGAGCATTGGCACGGCTCGCTCATGTGAGGTACAGTGGCTTAAGTCTTTGTTGTTGCTCTTCTATGGAATAATTAATCACTCACAACCTATACAGAAGATCTATTGTGACAACCTGCAGTCTGCTATTCATATAGCAGCAGAAAACCCTGTCTTTCACGAACGAACAAATTAAAACATGTTCGGCGGATGGCATATATCAGTGGGTGCTGCTGGCCGGTAATTGTGGAAGCGGGAGTACAGAAGATTACGTGGTCACTGGGCACTGTTGACCGGCAATCGTGGCAGCGGCGTTGAAGAATAAATTGCTGTGTGTAGGTGGTTTGATTTGGTGGGCAACTATAATAAGATGATAATTAAGTTTATCAAGTGATAGTGTCTGTTGGAAGTGAAATGCTCGCGGTCGCGGGGATGGCAAAGGCCCGTTGACCGGAATGTTTGAAATTATTTTGATAAAATATCTCAATCGAAATTAGTTTTTGTCATGGATTGTGTATTTATATGTATTATTTTTTCTTTTAATCTGTTGTGATCAAAGTATTTTTTTTTTTTTTACCTTTTAAATTGTGTGAACCAGTCCTATCGGTAGGGTTGGCTATTTGGTCCGGGCTATTTGGTTTTATCCAAAATCGGACCGTATAACTCGAACCGGGATCGGACCCAGATAGCAAACAATCCAATCCAATCTTCGGGCTTAGATTTGAGGTAAAAAACCGTTTGAGACCGGATCGAAAACCGGATAAGAGAGCCCAACAGCCAAAACTTAACAAATTCCTCACCTTTTGAGTCCTCAGGCCACTCAAATACCCACAAGCTCAATCTAAAATCAAGACCGAATTAAGATCGGACCGGATCAAAACGGGATTGTATCCAATCAAATCTTTGGTCCTTATATTACCGAAAAGACCGGACTGAAACCGGATCAATTCGGGCCGATTTAACCAGACCGGACCGTATAGCCACCCCTACCCACCGGGATGGTTCATCTGGTCTCATATGTCAAACCTTGGGTCCATTATAACCATCCAAATTAAAATGAATCAAATAGCTATTACAACTGGTTAATTAGGAGTTCTACCGACCCCCAACCGCGCGCGTTAATCTGGTTACGTTCTTATAACAATTGTTTAATAATTAAAAGACAATTTAATTTGTATCACATCTTTTTTGCTCGTATAATATTATATACATGCACGAGAGAGATGTCCCAAGTCTTTCGTACTCTTTCGATTACTCTCTCTATATATACCTAACCTAACCAATTAACTTCCCAAAACATATCTCATCAACACAAAGTAACAAAAGAAAATAAGTAGCAGCAGAGCATATATATATATATATATATCCATGGAGATCCCCACCATTAACCATTGCCAAGTACTTTTCCGTCGTCTTGCTTCTCATCCTCCTCCTTCCGTTTACTGATTCGAGAGCAGCCGATCAGCAGTCGTCGGAGAATTCTCCGACTAGCAACCACATGACACCGCCCAAAAGAGGAAGAGCAGGTGTCGTCATGATACCTAAAGCATCCGACAACAACAACAATAATACGGCGGGTTCGGTGCAAGAAGACTGCAACGGCAGCTGCAACGATAGCAACTGCAAATTCTGGTACCCACGCCTGTGCGACGATCAAGATGCCAACAACTGCTACGTGGGTTGCTACTGCAAGGAGTATCCCCTCAAGTGTTATTGCTTGTGCAACACATAGAATATAATGAAGAATCTGTACCAAGTGATCGAGTGCATGCATCTTCTTCTTCTTCTTCTTTTTCTGTTCTTGATGTTTGGCCCCGGGCAGTTTTCCTTCCTAGTGATGAGTTGGGATTGCTTTGTATGGGATTTCGTTTTCTTTTCTTTTCTTCGTGAATGAATGAATGAAATAAAGGATGGATATTTGCCATCTTCTTTGAATAATTCAATAATAATATATATAAGTAGGGATGTCAAATCCAGAGGTTAATCAGGAGGGAAATTAAACTGACATTTATTATTCATTTTGTCGATGTTGGGTCGTCTAAATCTCGTTTCAACCATGATTGAGGTCTCTCTTCTATTCGAATTAGATAATGAGAAAACCATAATGTTTGGATTTGGATTTCGCTCGTACCCATCGAAAGGATGCATAGTATTAATCAAGGTAAACAAACCAAGTATTGTACAGCTGCTAGTCCAAATATGTTACCCTACAACTACAAGTAGCTAGTCTCAATTCCCAGACTTAGAATTTTTGGTACTCTCCACCAAACACACTCGAGAGAGAGAGAGAGAGAGAGAGAGAGAGAGAGAGAGAGAGAGAGAGTGGTTGAATCCGTGCCAGAGTTTAAATTTGCGATTCTCAACTTCCAACTTAAAAAAAATTCACTGTGTATAGAGTTCTTGAACCAGCTAGCAATCAGAATAATAATTTATTTCTATCTTCTTCTTTTGTGAACTCAATTGAGTATTGTAACTAGCTAGCTAGAAGTGTCAACTGTCAAGCAGCGAATAAATTGAGTCGTTGGAATTATACGTGTTTTATAATATATATTATACTGCATATTATTTCCGCCTCCTCAAATTTAAGTCAGTCATATGAGCTTCAAATTTGAAAAATAGAGTCACTTAGATTCGAGCAAAAGACTTCTCAGTCACCAAGACCTATGATGATATCATGTCAATAATAATCAATTGGTATGGTGATGACAATTTCTGACTTGATCCGCACGATCCGACCCGTACGTAGTAGCATTGAGTGGGGCATGTGTACTATTTTTTTTTTTTTACTTGTCTCGTCTTGTACTACTACAATCTTGACTCCTTCTATCATGATTTACATCAGTACACATCTCCTTTATTTCTCATCTTTTGAAGTTTTCTAAAACTAATATTTTCATCTCAAATGATTTTAAGACTACAAATTTCAACTATTTAGACTAAATTATTTCCTTTACCATAATTAAGTCTTATTTATATATGAAGTGTTTTGTCCTTGTTCTTTTTTTTAAAAAAGTTAAATATCGGCATTCATTTCTTCAAATATCGACATTCATTTCTTTAACAGCCTGTTTGGATACAATTCCGGAAGAAATGGAAATGGAAATGGAATTCAATTTTTTATTTTTATAGAATTCCATTTCCAATTCTAGTGTTTGGTATAATTCCTACAACTATGGAAATGAATTGCACTTTTAACCATAATGAATAATGTAATATGTTTGTTTTATTTTGGGAAATGAAATATGAATGAGAGAGAAAGAGAGTAAAATGATAGTGGGTCAACAAAATAATAAAAAGTATTGATGGGTCCCACTAATTCCATCTTCATTCTCTCAATTCCTATCACTTTTTATAGGAATTGTAATTCCCATATTTTAGACCCATTGGAATTCAATTCTCAACCTTTTTATTATTCCAAACATAATATATGGAAATGGAATTGGAAATGGAATTCCAATTCCTTACTTTTTTGTCAATCCAAACAGGAAATGATCCGTCCTTAGTGCGAGACAGACATGAGCATTGAGCTACCCGTCCTGTCCCGCCTCACCCTCATTGTCATCACTAAATTAATCATAATTAATAACTCGAATGGTTCAAATATTAATACATCCTATACCCATAAACCACAACTAATCATCGATGGATCTCCAAAGCAGTTATATCTCTCTGTCTTGAATAGGTGAATCCCATCTCCCAGAAAAGCCAGAGGAAGGCCCAGAACTTCCCAAAACTGGAGTTTTAATTATAATTTCTTTTTCCAACAACCATATTTATTGTTGTCAATGTTTTTTTATCTGTTTTTTTTAGTTTACGGTGGCGGTGGCACATTTATTAGTAGCCATGCAGCGTTACTGAGAAACAAAAGAAATTGAATGACTTGACTTCCCACCAGTAAAACGAAGGGCTTAGTTCCCTCCATTCACGATGTACGGTAGAGTGTAGTAGACCCATCTTTTTGTTAACCATGCATCTTGAGTTAGAGCTCATGTCCATCCACTAAACAAAATTATATCAACTCTAAACTAGACAGAAAATGATTCTTTTTTTCCCCCCCTTGTGACATGATCGACAATGTAATTAACCAATCTCTGGGTGATCGATAATACCGGCATATACGTTAGCCCTAGATGGGCAATTTCGAACTCGGAATATGACATGATCGGTTTGGAGTTGCTGACCGCCACACAAAAGAATTAATGATTGAGCAATATCGCCCGTCATTAATTCTTCTTTAATTTGGTAAGAACTCCATCTCTCACATGCAGACATCTTTTAAAACGAGGGTTAATTTTAGTCTACCGACTCACTCACGTATAACTCTTTACTAGCAAGTCGTTACCCGATTATATTACTTACTAATAAAACCCTTAAGAACATTGGACTCAGCACAGGCAAAAATCATGCACCTATCGATCATTCATCAGCTATAGTCGAGTCGGCAAACTATCTGGAGATTGTAGCCTGGGTGCGGATAGATATCCTAATCACCATAACTTCCTGTTTTGTTTTTTTTTTTAATATAATTCCAAACAATATACACAAAAAATCAAAGAAATAACACATCAGTCATCACAGAAACCAAATTTGTACAATAAATAATGAAAGCAAATGGGGGTTGAATTGAATTCATATGTGTAGGTCTGGGTTTTTAATGAGCAACGTTATAGCTAGCAGCTGCTCCCTTCTCCTTCATAGACTGAGTGAGTGAGTGAGTAGTTATCGGATTTATTATTTTCTCTCTTTTTTCATGGAAGGAAAAACTAAACCTTCCTTCAAAAAAAAAAAAAAGAGCATTAAATTGGTATCTACTTGCCACCTTTAATGTTTTGGGCTGCCCCCTCCCCCTTCTTCCTTTAATGCATGCAGTTCCCATCCATGAATTTGCCCTCTCAATTTAAGGACCTCTACCCATTTTTCCTCCTCACCTCAAAAACCCTTTCTTCTTCTTCCTCCTCTTGTTTAAGGGTTGGTTTTCATTTGTGGGTTTGGTTGAGTTTCGATGGAGTTCACGACGGAGCTGTGTTTGGCTCCCTGCAGGAAGCAGCACCATCATCAGCACGTGAAGACATCGTCGGAATCAGAAAGCAGCAACAACAACAGCAACAAATGGAGCATTGGTATGAATCATCACTCGAGGAAGAGGAAGGTGACGATGATCGAGATGATGCGTTTTGATAACGATCATGATCGCGATCGTGATCATGTCGTCGATCTTCAGCAGCATCTTGATCAGGAAGTGAAGAACAACAGGGCTCTGCCTTTGGATTGGGAGCAATGCCTCGACCTTCATGTAAGTTGTGTGTGTGTGTTTTGTTTTTATCTCCTTCCCTAGCATGTGTCGAGTTTACGCGATTCGAATCCAACTTTGGAGTAACGAGGATGTTTTTTTGTTTTTGTTTTTTTTTTTGTTTTTGTTGTTGTTTTTCTTATGGTTGTGACTTTGTTACTTGACCAAAATGTTGGTTAGTTTTGCTCGAATTAATGATGGTTGCATGCGGTGGTTATCTTTGCACATCCACGACCATTAATTTTGGTCATGTTAATGTGTTCCTCCCCATCTGTTTTTTCGTAGTCTCATTTATTCTCATATTTATTGTACGTTACATCATTCTAAAGTGAGAGCACACACGTGCCAACTTCCATAATAAAGACATAAGCTTTTTTTTTCTTTCGAATAATAAGAAAGGAGTGTAAAAGATGGTAAACAAATCTTCGTATTCATGATATCTTATACTATTTTCTTACCACGGAAAGTTTGTTTACTATGCTTAAGTTTGTAGACTTACCCCACTCTTAGCTCATCGACCTATCAACGATTGACTGATAGAGAGAGAGAGATTTGTACGTATTCACAACTCGAGTCGTGTCGTGGTCTCGTCATAGTTAAGTTGCTGTCACGTCCAACTTGTCTAATCGATTTGCGATTTTTTGATATGTGGTACAGTCGGGAACGATGTACTACTTCAACAGGAAGACGTCAAGAAAGAGCTGGAACCGGCCAAAGGACGCGTACCACGACGACGAAAACGATCCAAACAACAGGAGTCTGGACCTGGAGCTCAACATCTCGTCACCGAGCAAGTACTACAACAATGTGAGTACTGATCACCATCAACACAACATGATGAAGCTTCACCATCACCAAATTCCAGCCTCATCACCATCACAAGAAGGGAATTTCAGTCCTAGTGATGGTGGCAGTAGTAGGACTAATGATGATGATGACAAGGACAATAACATGGTGGCATTGGCATGTTTGAATTGTCACCTCCTTGTCATACTCTCCAAGTCATCTCCTTGTTGCCCCAATTGCAAATATGTACACTCCCTCCCACCCACAATATTCCACCACAACTACCCACCACAGCCCAATAAGGCCCAATTCCCTACCAGGCCCATTAGCACCTTGAGCCTCCTCAATTAGCTATATGAATATGATCAAAAGATCATGTATAAGTGTATAATGTGAAAAGAGTTGTAAGGAATTAAGCAGCTAGTAATTATGTATGTAAGCTATGCAAGAGTCAATGGATCTAAGCTTTCAATTTCCTGTTTATTAGTAATCCAAGTTGTTAATGAATCAAAGTGCTGTGCTGGTCAATGGCCGCCCGATATAACAGCTAGGAGGCTGCATCCATTGTCAACCCCATCAACTATCAACCAAAAAGAAAGAAATGAGGACCAACCCCTGAAGTCAACTAAGCTCGGGGGACAATGCTAGTGTTAGCATCCGAGTTGAGACGAAAAACACTAGTCACGTCGAAGTTTATTGACGAGTTTGAGGTGACAATTCGAATCAAATCCATGCTTCGAGATTGGATCTCAGGCTAGAGTCGAGATCGAACAGTCGAATCCGGGGTAAACTGTGGCCTGGGATCCAAACAAGCAAAGGAGAGGAGTTTCTCGTCATTCTCCAACATACCCATTTCATTTCCCTCCAATAACACCCACGCTTCCAACCCACTTCCGTCCTTGGTGTCCAAAATCATCACCAAATCCACCACCCCGCCGCCGCCGCCGCCGTCGTCCGCTTCATCGCTCGGCAGCAAGCCCAGCCACGCCGGCTCCCCCCACCCGAAATCCGCGTCGTACAACCCCAGCCGGCTCCAGCTCGTGAAACCGATCCGCCGCCGTCCTGCCCTGTACTCCTCTGCCGCCGCCTCCGCCAACAGAGCCGCCCCTGCCCTCCCCTGAATCTTGCTCACGAACCCGCCGCCGCTCCTCTTCGCCACCGAATCCATCAGCAGCTTCACCAGGCAGCAGCTCGGGTCTTCAATCTCACGTGGGTCGATCGTAGCGACGGCGTTGATTACGTAGTTGCCGAATGAATTCGACGGCAGCGGCGGGTACCCCTTCCGCCGCAGGTTGACAGCTTGGGTCACGACCACCGCCGACGGCGGCGCTCTGCTGGCGGCGATGGCCCGCAGAATCGACTCGCAGAGAATTGCAGTTACTGCTTGCACTCTACTGATCATTGGCTCCATCAATTTCTCTTTCAGACTCGCCAAGCCGGTCGCATTGAAGACGAACCTTCTGGTAACTGCCGGCGAATTCCTCTGCTCCGCCGCCGTCACCGCCGCCGGAGACGGCGATCGCATCTCATTCCGCGGGAAAATCGAATCCCCGCCGAATTTCGGATCCCAAATCCCAGAACCACCGTCACCACCACCGGCCACCGGCGGCTGATTCCGGATCAGAGCCGCGGCGGCGCCGCCCCAGGCACGGAGGAAGCACCCGATCGACGAAGCATCGAGCACGTTGTGCGCCACCAGCAGAGCGATCGAAGCGCCGCCGCAGGGGAACCACGTTACCTGCAAGAGGATTACAGGGGATCCCGGCGGCGGCGGGGATAGGATGTTATTATTCTCCACCGCGGAAAGGGGGAAGAGGTGATTGATTGCGGCGAGGTTTAATTCGGCGAGGAATTGGGAGAGGGAGGTGTTTCGATCGACGATTCTGGCCTCGGCGTAGTAAGCCCCGGCGGCGGCGTCGCTGCAGTCGATGGAGAGGCCGTCGTGTCTGAATTTCCCGGCTAAGGGGTAGTAGCGAGAAAGGGTGTCGGATAAGGACTGCTTGAGGAGGGATGATCGGCGGTGGTCGGGTTGCGGCGGAGGAGGGTAGAAGAGGATGACGGGGCCGTAGATTTGCGGGTTGATTTGATCCATTCCGCTGAGGTTGTAGGTTTGGAGGTGGGGTGGGGTTGGGGAAGAAGGTTTGATGTAGGTGGTGGAAGTTGTTTCTACTACTACTTGGAGCTCCATTGAAATGGATTTTTGCTTTGTTGGGGCCAAAGCAAGCAAATTGATTGACATGAAACAAAGGTACGTAGTTGTATATATATATATATTTTTTTTTATTTGATAACCCAGGGAACCTCAGCCCCACGTGTCGCATGAGCGACAGCGGGGCCTACTAAACCACTGGGGGTACCTGCATACTAACCGGGGCTTTCTGCTACCAACATCGGGGAGGCTTCGCCTCCGATACCAAGGGTGCCGCCGGGAACGCTCAAGTGGCGCCACTGGGAATCGAACTCAGGACCTCTCACATCCAGAGCTCAATTGTATATATATAAGGTGGATGTAATGATTGAGGTTTTTTTTTTTTGTAATGATATGTGCTAACTGTGGAAGAATGTGAGGATGGGTGACCTCTCGAAAAGTTACATTGATATGCAATTCAAGGTAAAATCCATACGAGTTAAATAGACTCAAAACGGACAATATAATGGTTGGAAAAAGGTTCGGAACCTCAACTAGGATGTTGAGTCGCAATGGGGAGGAGTATGTAGCACTTTAGGCAAATTCCACGTCGACAAAGCACGTGAAAGATCTATGATTCATAAGTAAGAAATCAATCTTAACTAACAAGATGCGTTTTGGAGTGAAATGTATGAATTCTTGTGAGAACCCCCGAAGTTAAACGTGTTCACTATGGAGCAATGCAAGGATGAGTGACCTCTCGAGAAGTCACCTTGATATGCACCTCAAGGGGAAAAAAACGTGCGGGTCTAGACCCAAACGGGACAATATTTTGGTTGGTAAAAGGTTCGAGATGTTACCATTATTATGTAGGTTTTATTTTCTCCAAAATGGTAGAACAATTATTCATATGTTTTGATAACGGTCGTTAAGACTATGGACGAAAATTGTGAAAGTGCAACCAGAATTTGATTCATATAATTTAGTTGCAACTTGCAACTCTATTTTGACTTGTAAGTGACAAGTGAATGCATTGTAACCCTTAAATTTGTCCCACCAACTCTTGGAAGGTCTTCATAGCAGAAACAGGTAGTCCAATAAATGCATTTAAGCTCTTCACCTCCCTATCATGAGCCAGAAATGTGATCGATTCATACTGTGGTGACTCAACTGGTTCAACCCGCAACGGTCTGCCCCACCCAAAATCCGTAGAATCCATAGGCATTCTGTACCACGCGGTTGCGATCATCGTGTACCCTAAAGGTCGTGTCGCTCCAGTGGCTTCCATGTAGTCTATAGTAGACCTTATGATCCCGTCATTACAGTTAGCGATTCCGTCCTGAATCTTCTTGACCGCGTGAGATATCGGTTTGTCCATAATGTCACGTGCCAGCCACGTGCCCGTGGTCATCATCTTGACCGCGTTCCCAAAATACCCTCTGGGCAATGGCGGCTCGAGCCGGTCCCTCGCGCTGATGACCAGCATGAGCCGTGTTTCCTGGTATGGTGCCATCTTCAGGGCCTTGATTCGAGCCCTCCACACGAAGGCCACCACCGCCTCGAAAGTGCTACATCTGGTGACGAGTCCTCCGCCTCTGGCACCATGGAGGACTCGTTCCTTGATCTTGCGAATCTTCTCCCCCGTGAAGTGGGCATACTCGAAGACCACGGGCTCTTTAGCAAACTTGTCGAGACTACTCGACGACTTGTCTTCCAAGTCGTCGTATTCGGAGTGGCGGTAGTCGATTTTTAGTGGGACTCGCGATTTGAGCAAGGTTCTGTCGAGAAATGGAGGGACCGAAAGCGGCAGCCCTCGTGCCGTTTCCCCCCACGAGTTGAGGAACTCGATGGCTGCTATGCCGTCTCCGAGGAAATGGTTCCAAGAAATCCCAACCACGAATCCACCGCATTTGAACCTGGTCAACTGCAATGACAAGCAAGGATTAATAATTGGGTTATAGGTATAATATGTCCCTCTACTATGACATTTTATCAAACATGCCCCTCTACTATTTTTTACATCAAACATGCCCCTGTACTTTGGAAAACTTATCAAACATGCCTTTTTGTTAAAATTTACATCCAAAAACCGTTAACCAAGACCGAAATTTGGTTTGGGCGACCCAAATATCTAAAATATCCCTAATAATTCCACTTTAGAGTTTTTTTTTGTTCTTTTGTATAGCCAAATAATTCTAATAATTTCACTTTGACGAGACCTAGAGAAATAAAACAAGGGTCAAAACTGACATTTCCCCTCCCATTTATCGATGTCAGGTCGTCTAAATCTCGGTTCAACCATGATTGACGATTTTTTCAATGGAAATTTCAGCTGAAAGGGAATGTTTGATAGTTTTTCCAAATTACAGGGGCATGTTTGATGTAAAAAATAGTAGAGGGGCATGTTTGATAAAACGTCATAGTAGAGGGGCATATTATACCTATAACCCTTAATAATTTTACCGTAACTTTATATTTTTTTAATAAACAAATGCTTCATTCAAAACAGTCAAATGAAAAGTTGGTATGAGTGATAAATTAAAAGTTCATCAAAGATAAAGCGAGGACTGTCTAAATTGTTAGTATATTCCTAATTTGTAAGAATTTATCATGAATGTTAGTCAATTTGTCTAATCAATAGTCGACAGAGAATTTTCTTTCTGGTTAACCCAGCCGCCCAACGACATCCAACCACCACTACTCACACATGTCAACTCAAAAGAAAATGTAATTGGATAGCGGGTCACAATTATATAAACTAAGCAAGTAAATTTGAAACAGAAATCTACACAACCCGCCCATTACCCACATCCACATGCATAGTTAAAGGGCAAAATAGTAGAGGTAAATAAAATCACCAGAGAGAAATGGGAAATTTACCTGAGCCATCAAAGGAGGAATGTCAATGGAGCTCTTGGCATCATGAACCTTATACACCAACTTGGAACGTGTCACGTGGTCCGGCTTCGACAGGTCAACGCTCCCCAGCTCGCAATCCGCCTCGGCCTCGACGAAAACGGCGCCGTCCCCGGTGCAATCGACGGCGAACCTCCCGTCGGATCCATCGACGGTCAGCCGGCCGGCGACGGGGTAGTAGTGAACGAGGACTTTGCTCAACGCATCCCTCATGACTTCTCCGGCCATCTCGTTACCCTTCTCCGTCGACTTATTGTAAGTGTAGAAGGTGTAAATGATCATGTCGCAGTAGTCGAGGTTGGACAGGAAGTACATGCCCGCCGGCGTCTTCTGCGCCGGCGGGACCAGGATTGGGTCGCCGGCGAGCTTCACGGTGAGTGGCTTGTTTCCGGTGCTTGTTAAGGTCACCATTGTGTTGATTGAAGGTGGTATGGAATCCTTTGGGGTGATTGCTTGTGAAACAAGAAAGAGTATATGGAAATGAAGAGTGGTCTACTGGTCTTATGGAGAAGCTCAATCCCTCAATTACTTGTATTCTTAATTTGCTTTGCCTATACGTCACCTATTTTAAGTAACAAACTGAAAAGGAAAAAAAAAAAAAAAACTCCACAAACGAAACAAGAGGTGGTGGTGACCTACGATTGAAAGGGTGAATATTACTAACTCATATTGACTTTAATTGAGATAATAGTTATATTGGTTTTGATACTTGGTATCTATTGTCAATGTTGAGAAGTAATGCTTTCTTATTGGAGATAAGTGGACTCATCAACATCCATGATGAATGAGAAATCACAATCGAACAGTCTGAATCGGAAAAATTGGATGATATCGCGTATAGCTCTCTAAAACTGCGGCTAAATGTAAAGGATCTCATCAGCATCATCCATGAATGAGAAATTATAAATCGAACTGCCGCGAATCAGGAGAAGAAAAAAAAATGGGTGCTATATATCGCGTATAGTTTTGTACCGCGGCGAAGTACCGTATAGCTTTGTAATTAATTAAGCGGAGGACTCGAACCGTTGACATCCGCCACCCGCGGGCAGCATATATATCACTGCCTCTCGATCGATCGTCCCCTGATTGAGTCTACCTGCATAGAGGCCAACGATAGACAATAACTCCGCCCCAAACACAGCTTACAACTTTCATCGTTATAATTCAACGGTTATGGAATAAATAAATTTCCACTATCGAAACCCTGGCTTCTGACTTTGACCTATTACACCGCCAAATAGGCCGTCTGATGATTAGATTCATTCAGACGTGGGCCGAGTGAATGAGTGATCAACTTGTTCTCGATCGTTGCCATCAGTGAAATTTGACGTTGTTTCATTCATAATATCTCCAGTCCATTACATATCCAAGTTGAGGATGAATCGATTCCATTTATTTATAATTCGAAGTTGACCAAAATGGTTATGCTATGCCCACATCCACCCTTAATGTGGCACGAAAGCACAACATCGTGAAAATACAAAGTCAACCAGATTCTAGCTAGCTAGGCCATGTGACCTTGTTGAAATAGATCGAAGCTTGCCAATGAATCTAAGCTGTCATTTGCTAAATACCAAACCAAGGAATAATAATAATAATAATAATAATAATAATAATAATAATAATAATAATAATAATAATAATAATAATAATAATAATCTCATTTAAAGTCAATGAGTTAGTAACATACACCCTTTTAAGTCGTAAATTTAGAGGTGTTGAGTCACACCCATAATCAGAACCTAAAACAAAGAAAAGCATCCAAAGGAACACAGTGCATCATCAACAATGGAGTTGGAAATAATCTCAGAGACATGCATCAAACCTTCTTCCCCAACTCCTCCCAATCTCAAAACCTACCGCTTCAGCAGCATCGACCAGCGCGCACCTTCCTCCTACATGCCCACCATCCTGTTCTTCAACCCTCCTCCCACCCTCGTCGCTAATACTACTACTTTCAACGACGACAAAATCTCCTCGTCGCTAAAAAGGTCCCTCTCCGAAACCCTAACCCGGTTCTACCCACTAGCCGGTCGGACCGACCCGGAGGGGGGGGAAAACCTCTCCATCGACTGCACCGACGACGGCGTCCGCTACGTCGAGGCTAGAGTCAACGACCCTTCCTTCACCCTCGCCCACTACCTCGACCACCGCGTGGTCAACGACGGCGGCCTCGCGGTCATGACGAAGCTGCTCCCTCTAAACGACGCCGTCCGGATGTTCCGCCCTCCGCCTCCCGGGTCCCACATCGCGCACATTCAGGTCACTTTCTTCCCCTGCGGCGGCCTCTCCATCGGTTCCGTGTTCTCGCATAAGATCGTGGACGCGCCTACCTTGAGCTCCTTCTTCCGGCTCTGGTCCGCCGCCGCCGTCGCCGGCGGCGGCGGTGGTGGTGGTGATCTCGTGGCGAGAGATGACTCGCTGTTCTGTGCCGGATCGGTGTTCCCTCAGAATGACGCGTTCGTTGCAAGGGCGCCGCGGGTTCCGAAGCCGGCGATGCTCGCTCGGGCGCAGTCGGTGCCGGCTGCGACCAGAAGGTTAATACGAATTTTTATACGTGTTTAGTACTGGAGCCAAAGTTTTAAATGAATAAACTACGTGCGCATGCACGTAGTATTTACCAATGTAGTCAAAAGCGAGTTTCTACGTAGAAATGTTTTGGTGATCTAGAAGCGTAAAATCGTAAGTTTCTAAGTTTTAAACCGAGTTTTTAACTACATAAGTTATAAAAACCGAGATTTTTGCGTAGAAACGTTTTAGTGATCTATAAATGTAAAATCGTAAGTTTTTAAACTTTATAGCGCGATTTTGACTACATTGATATTTACACACAAATGCTTGATCGATATTCTTGGTGGTGCAGGTTTGTGTTCAATGCATCTGCAATCGCGAGGCTGAAGGAGGAATGCAAACCAATCGGAGTCGCTGACTACACAGTCAGTCGAGTCCAAGCGGTCACGGCCTTGCTCTGCGGGTCCATACTTCGGGCCTTCAGGGCAAGGTCGGACAATTCCGGCACGACACTGTTCGTGCAGCCGGTTAATCTTCGGACAAGGGCCGACCCGCCCTTGCCCACCAACTCATTTGGCAATCTGACGATGTCGGTCGCCTTTCGTCGTCTCCACAACGAAGGAGGAGGAGACGAAGGCACCGGCTTGAGTTCGCTGGTGAAGTCGATGAAGGAGTCGGTGTCGCGAATCGACGGGGAACTGATAAGGAGGATCCGAGGCGAGGAAGGGAAGGACGAGTTCACAAAGGTGGCGGAAGAGGCGGAGGACGAAGCAGAGGACGCGGAGAGACATGTGATGGTCAACAGTTTCAGCCGGTTGGGTTACTACGAGATCGATTTCGGGTGGGGGAGGCCCGTGTGGATGGCTCTCCCCTGTAGGGAGGAGTCGGGCCCCGCGGTGGTGAATCTGGTGCTGGTGAACGATACGAGGAGGAGCGGAGAAGGTCTGGAAGCCTGGGTTTTGCTGGGAGCAGATGACATGGCGGTTCTGGAGAGCGACGAGGAGCTTCTCTCGTTCGTTTCTTCGATTGATCCCAGCCCTCTCGATTAAACTCTGATATGCCGATCTTGTCAAAGTTATGTTTTTTTATCATAATTCGCAAACATACTACGTACGCGTTGAAGATTATATATAGTGTATCTGTATTATCTTTCTAAGATAATATTATCCGCACGATTGTAAGTTGTAACTGTTGAATTGTGAAATGAATTATGAGTGGAGGAATATTTTTCTCGTACGATGTCACGAACATTCATTTTCTTACGGTTGCGTTAGCCTCTTTCATACGCATTTTGGAATGAAATTAATAAATCGGTAAAGTTGCTAAAGGGAACAAGCTGATCGCTCTGCCCATATCTGAAAGTTGATTACGGATGACGTGTGCCTGGAATGGTTTCGGATATTATCAATTAGTTAGATAGTTTTTTTTGTTCTTGAGTGTGTTTTTGTTGTAATGTAGTATCAGTTGAGGAGCGTTTTCCCTTGATTTTTTTTTTAGTCTTCTCTTTTTGAGTTTTCGTCCCATCTTTGGGGTTTTTCTTAGTGTTTTTTCGTTGTTGTTTTCAGTTTTGTTTCTTTCCTTGCTCCTTTCAACTTTTGGTTGAATTTTTGTCTTATTTTCTTTTTGTCCGTTCTAATAAAATTTCCTCAATTATAAAAAAAAACTACAGAACATTGAAACAGATAAAGAATATTTTCTTGTACGATGTCAGTTTTTCCCGAATTTGGTAGTCTTTATTCATGGGTCAGACTGGTGTATTCATAGAGTATACTATATTCCAGGTACTCATAATGAGATATCTCTATCTAGACTATATGAATTAAGTCGAGTTTGGGGTATGATACTATACCCTACTCTCTAATGGATTAACCCCAGACCCCGATTCTCTAAACTCAAACCTGAAGTTCAATTTAATAAAAAAATAATATTAATTGACCGTTGAAGTTAGTTGGAGTTCAGAAAATGAGATTTTACGATCATATCACATGGAGTATGATATACTCTGGAGTACACCAGTTATTACCCTTTTATCATATACATTTGGAGTTAACTTAAATTAGTCAGTTGACGAAAGAGGACAATTAGAGATCAGTTAGATATATACAATAAATACTATAGAAAGTAAGTATCAACTACAATATGCCATGATACGCAGTCTCTGCCCACTTCTGAATTAATCTATAGCAACTTACCAAAACAGTTGGCGGTTTACTTTCACAACTTAAGTCGAAGGCCTAGGTTTCGACAATAGAATTTTTATATATTCGAAAACAGTTGAATTATAACGCTGACGAGTATTATTTGGATATATATAATAGTAGCAACTTGAATGGAAATTAAAATTAGTCAATTGCGACTTATATTAGTTATACTAGCTTTTTACCCGACCCGTTGGTCGGATGAATTTAGTTTTATTTATTATATTTTTATATTTAATCTATTTTTTCATATTTTCAAATAATTTGGGATCGTCTAAATAATTTATTAGTGGGTTGAAACTAATATTTGTGCGAATTATTGATTGTAACATTAGTTAGTTTATAAGTATTTGTATTGATCATGCTATCGCTTACTGAGTTACTGTTGTCTATATATTTTTTACATCTAAGAAAAAAATTACTTCCTATTGTTAGAATAAATTACTTAAAAAATATTTCTTCATAAAATTTGATATTATTCACCTATTTTTCTATTATATCCATGAAAATAAAATAATTAAGCATTGAAGTATTTATTATAAACTCCAAGGGATTTTCCCTATTAGTAATTTGGAGGGATAAAAATTTATCAAATAAAGGATTCAAATTTTATGGTCGACAACCATTAGGTACTAATTGAGAAAATACAAAATTATAATTCACTTTTAAATAATATATATCTCCAAAAGCAGTTGTGGTTGTTAATAGCTAACATTAATGTATACGGATAGTACAATTGTATTATAATGGACATATCTGAAATATTTCAATTATTTCTTTAAAATTTTAATTAAATAAGGCACTCTATAGTTCAAACATACAATCATTTGTTGTGAAAATTAAGTTTCTGAAAAAGATTCATGATTTTCGGAAATCAATATGGATTTTTTATAATTGATTTTGGTGTTGCCTTTGATATCTAAAAGTCAACACTTATAGATTTGTCTACTATGTCATTTGAAAGATTCTAAAAATTTATAACAAATATGTACCACCAACAAATAAAAACTTTTTTGTCAAAAATTTGTGTGCCCATAAATTTGTTCTTAGCTTTGTGCTCGGCTTTTAGCTCGATAGTATAACATATGCTAAATTTACGACAGTCCTTGTGTCTGCCACCTATTTCATAGCATATTAGGTTTCGAGTATCCACAAATATTAGTACGCTTTCAACAATTATGTTTATAGTTACACGTATACTAACATTATGAAGTGAAAATTTACAACAATAAATAACTATAATAAAGAAAATTAATTAAAAAGAATACCGTCCGTAAAGCTCAAGAATTATTAGTGAATTAGTTGGTAATCTATTATCCTCTTGCAAAAAAATGGACAATTACATTATGCTCATCGCTATTTTTGGAAGGTCAGATGATCAACAATAAAAGTCGGGGAATTTCAAGAAGATTCCCAAAGATGTTTCCCTCCCTCCAGGCAAATGATCGACTTTGCTTTTGCTAGTAGAGAATGGAGCTGTTATACCTGCATAAAACAATGTCTCTTGAAATAGTGTTTATTTTCAACAACTTGCACAATTCCAAATTGATTCATAGGTCAACGCGATCACATATTTTATTGACTTATCTGTTGATCATTATAATTAGAAGCAACAAATAAAATGAAAAGCATAGTGATAAAGATGACTATTAATACCATAGACCGATAGACGCATCCCTCTTCGCTACTTTCTGTTGGCAACTATGGGAAAATAGAAACCTCTGGGCCTTCGAGAGACTATTGGTGCCGGCAACCCAGTTAGCCTACCAAATCCGGCAAATGCGAGTGCAGATTGATCAATCTTCTAGGAGGATTGGGCAGGTTCTCGGGGAGGCTACAGAGCGGGTGGAAAGGGGAAATAGAATAGGGTTTGGGATTTTCACAAAAAGGCTACAATTTCCCCTTTATTAGTTGTTCTGGACGTCGCCCACCAAAGTGAAAACGCGTCTCCGAGTGCCCAGGTGCCTAGATCAATCGCCCAGAGATAGACTGGGCGATTTCCTCCTGCCCAGCTATTAATCGCGCCTAGGCGAGAGATTAATCGCGTCTTCTTGAACACTGAATAAAAGTGGACCAAACAAAGACATTACATCCAACTCATTTCAGTTCCATCTTAACACAGTATCGGAGGCATGTACTATTATTATACAAATGATCTTACGCTCTCAATTAGGAACTAAACGAAGGTTAAATGCTTGATTGGCAAACTAAATCGATGAACCTAGTGATCTTAAAGAAAAAATTAATGATCACATGATTTCTTGGACCAAACTACTAAAGGAAAAAAGAAAAAAGAGACCGTACATTAGCATAAGAACTCAACAAATTACTTATAAGAACTAATGACATAAGAAAAATGTAAACTCAAACCGTTCTTCCGAAGGTCATGGATTAAATCATTAGTTGTCGATTACATAGCCTAAACTGCAAGTTATATCCAAAATAGAGGCAATTTAGAAACAAAAAAGTTAGATAAGAAAGCCGTGAAACACAGAAAAATTGAGTGAACAAAGTGGGAAGTATTGCTTTCAATTAAGCTTGATTATGTTGACATAAAGCAGGCACACATTTACGTTGGAAACCTAAACAAAAAGCTTAAAAAGTGGCAAGAGAATTCTTCCCTTGAGGTTCAAATATAGCCTACCTATATGAGTAGAGCCAAGTAATTACCATGATTCCATTTTACACATACCATCTCACAACCAACTGCTGCTAATGCTCTGGTCCGTTCCAAACCTCACTTGCTCATATCTCCAATACCATATCACGAAACCAAGAATTATACACAACTAAAAGATCCAATAAGGAGAGTAACTTAGCATGGAACTTTGTGATGGGGGAAAATTCTATGGTCAGTATTAAACTGTGCAAATTATATCACCTCTGCAAAGCTCACTACTTCCAGTAGTTTCTCACAAAACCAGCTACCGTCCTAATCCCTTCCTTCCTTCCTTCCCTCCCACCCAGGGTCAGAGTGTGAAAAATAGCGTCCATCTCCGCCAAAACCACAGCTTCTTCCTTCATCCAAGCATCTCTCCGTCGCAACCCCTCTCTAGGGGTTTCCTTCGCCCCAGTTCTCGGTGAGTACTCTTGACGCCCCCCTCCCCTGAAATTCACAATTACCTCTGGCTTTTATCAATTCAGCTTGGGGGAACCAAGAAATTGAATCGATTGGGTGATATGCAGGGCTGCCGTCGATGGCGAAGAGAGGGAGAGTGGTGAAGTGCTCGGCGGAAGGAAACGGAAAAAACGGCAGCGGATGGGAGAAGAAGGGGATGATGAGCGCTTCGCTGATGGCGGCGGTGGCCGCAGCAGCTGCGTCGAGCCCAGCGACGATTGATCCTCAACGGATGCGAGTAGCTGGAGCGATTTGTAGCGACCTTCTAGAGGCTGAAGCAGAGAAGAAAGAAGAAGCAGGGTTCGTGGCGGCGGGGGAGACGGTGGCGGCGGCGGCAGTAGTTGTGCTTCTCGCCGGAAGGGAAAGCCTCGATCGTCGACAACCTCTTCGCCACGGAGATCGTTCGCTGCACTCCCAAACGCGATCTCCTCAGTCACAGCAGAAGCGGGCCGTCACTGCTTTCCGCCACTGACCACCAAAACGTCTGGGGGTCTTCCCATGAACTCAGCAACAGTCGGCCGTCAGCGCCTTCCTCCGCTGAACACGAAACCGTGACGCCCTCTTACCAAAATTTTCCGATGGAAACTGATTCTCCTCCTGTCCTGCGGGTAGGCGAAAGAATAACGTGGGAACCCAGTAGAAAAGGTGGTATTTCAGCCAAACTAAAATTAAATGAAAAATAAATAATAACTAAATGATAACGTGGGAAACCAGGAGAAAAAGGTGGGTAGTG